TAGCTTTATTCTTGAAAAAATTCTTTTCATCTATCTTGACTTTTACAAATACAAGTATTAATATACAACACGCAGGTCGGCAGCAAGATGTGATTGTTCCGAGGTGTAAATTAGATATCTTGAGTGGCAATGGTGAACAGTATTTAGTTGCAGCACTGTAATTGGTCGGTTGGCAGAATTTTAATAGGGGGCAATGTATTTTTCAGAGGGGGAGGGTGGGGGAGGGGCATTGTCCTCCTTCCCGCATGTAGCTACGTGTATAGCAAAACGTGCAATAAACTAATTGGGTAAAATCGCAGTCAGAAAAATAGTTTTTCGCGGGTTTTCTTTTCACGAAGAAAGACGTGAATAATATCATCGGCAAGCTGCCGGAACAAAAGTGGCATCAGGTGTTCAGGAAGAGTGAGTAATATCAATGTATTTGTACAAATTGGAAACAACAACATCAACCATGGTGTCTGTGAACTGAGAACCATTGTAACCATTGGAATCATTCCTGCAATGTCTGCTACCAATTATCAGGAACTTAATGTTTATTATCTCACGAGGACTGGAATGAATAGCACGTGCTATTTACTAACATCATCGCATGTGTACAAGCACGTCCATGTTTATCGTACACATTATACTCAACAAATATCTTACGTATTTACCACAGTGGTATACAGTCTGTACATCCGGTTTCCGACTCAATATTAGAATTGGTCTCTGTATTAATTTCCAGCCATCTTCTAAGTTTCAACCGAGAAAATGTTCTGCTGAAAGACGTTTGGGCACAATAATAAGAACGCAACATTAAAATCAATTCCAATATGTAAAGGGACAGTCTTGTACGCAATCTTCTGAGTGGAAAATTCTTCAAACCAGTTCCTCACATTCATTGTATTGGAATACGAATTGTCTAGCATAAAGGAATGCATAGGAAAGGATATATTTTTATTATTTACCACATGGTGCTTGAGTCACAAAATGCACAACGAGTTTCCAATGTCGCTGCACTAATAACTGCAATAACAGTAAGATGTGTATGTGCGTTTTTGCTGACCCAGGAACATGATATTGTCCTTTATGGAAAATTGAAAATCAATTCCCAAAGAACTTAAATGATCCACATCCATTGAACATAATTCAGAATAAATAACGGGACATAACGTATTAAAATCATGGCCACTTCATGCGACAGAGACCTCTACTCTCTACGATCACTAAAATCTCAAAAACACTTGCCTAGTGGGAGTTCCTAACAACACAAATAAACAAATAAACAATAAGAAGAAGAATTCCGGGTGCAATGTGGTTGTACTGCTGAAAGTTTATCTGTAGAATAAAGAACACCCACCAGTGGAATAAAACAATATTAGTTGAAAAGAATCTAGTATCACTGCAGGTTAATATACACAATATGATGCAATATGAACTTGGTATAACACTTTACAGGACGTTTATTCAGATATTTACGTCAAACCTTTGGAAATACATTGAAGTACTTCAAAAACTTTGACATTGTAGCCGCGAATAGACTATGAACGGTGTCCTGAGCGGTGTACGCTGCATCGATACAGGAGGAAAGAGAACAAGTGCATACGACGTACGGTTCCGGACACGATGCTGGCACGATTCTCTTCTACTACATGTATTTTCTACTGTATCGATAATCCCGCATCGGACACCGTATATCAGTAATTCGCACCTTAAACCAACATTTTTTCGTGTGATTTCTGCTTGTTGCAAAGATATGGATGCTGAAGAAGGTACAAATAATTACCAACAATTTATGATTCATTTTGAATGTATACAAAATCTCACGTTGAGAGCTATTTTATATGCCAAGTAAGCTAAATTTATATTATTCATGTGACATCCATGTGAAACTCCTACACTTAAAGGTATTAAATTGGTGAGTTGTTTTAAGCCAATCAACAACTTGTACCCTTCCGCCATTTCACTCTTTCACCATTTGCTAGTAGTCCTAACCATTCGAAACGAATCATGATCGGGCTGGGCTTGCGGAAATGGACGTCTAAACATTTACATTGGAATGAAACACATAACATTTGTACAAATTGTTACAGAATAAACCTATTTTAAATGGAAAAATAACATTTTCATCAATTTGTTTGTTTTCAAATTGACCTTCAAACTTTGAGGTTGATTGTTAAGAAAATGTTTCAGTGCATGGGAAAACAAAACGATGACATTTCCGACTTCCGCCATTTTGTTTTTTACAAAGCTAAAATGGCGCCTATGTGTGCAACATCAAATATAAAGAAGTGAACGGTGGAGATACGGGAATACCCGGAGGATAAAAAACCAATTTAAGGCTAGACTGTGGACAGTCGAGCAATTCAAAACAAATTTGTACTTTCCTTTAAAGCTGTGATTTAATTTTGTGGTTTTCCGGTGGCGTCTGGCAATTTGGGTGTGTACGGTGTATGGTCCAGCTGTCGTGCGCATGCCTAGATTTTGCTGATCTGATCACACCATTAAAAACGTCAAAAACCGCAAATATGAAATGAAAATGTTAAAGCATTGTCTCATGCAATCATGTTTTACAATCAAAATATAAATAAACCATGGTATGGTATGGCATTGAGTCACCGAAGGCTTGGATGGTTGACGGCGTACCATAATAATTCAGCCTATAACGTTATCAGGGCAAGAAAATTGTAAAGAAGCCAATCGTGTCCGGATTCGTACCTCGTCTATTCCACCTACATTATATATTGCTTATTTCTCAGTTGCAGCTCACAGGCTCCCCCCGAACCAAACTTCCTTTGTCTGTCTCCCTGACATTGTCAACTCATCTGACTTTGTACTTTGATTTATAGTAATAAGTCAAACAGTTTAACTTGTATGAACTTTGAGTGATATACAGTCATGTATACTCTAATCGTAAAAGTTGTAATTGGTGTATACATTTAACGATTGGCTATGGACGAGACGCAGACGTCGTAAATGAAACATTGGCGCTTTTACTTCGGCGATTTTTGTTTGTAAGTCGCGACATTGGGCAAGTTAAATTAGTCGTCCCCCATGTTGCTTTTTCCTATTTGTTTATTTACGTGTGGCATTCGAGAGATGAAACAAATTCCTAGATTATCTACAACACGTTCCTTCTACGACTCACGCGCAGTGGCAGACGATCTAGCACGCGCCTGTCTTCTTTCGCAGGTAACGAGGAGCCTCGATATCAGTACAGAACGAATAGGTAAACTGTTTGAACTTTGTTAACTTTGTAAATATTGCCATTTATTTTTGTATCAAACAAATTAGGATAAACATTCAAATACCGTGGTGTACCAACTCATATACAAACGGTGTAAGAAATTCAAATGATCATATCAACAGAGTTGATACGTTTTCCCGCCAATTTTTTACGCTTTTGTCGCATATCTTAATCTTACAATCAATTTTTGTAGTAGGCCCTACAGGTGTGTTTTTTTATTGAATTTTACACGATAAAGATTGTCAACCAGCCTTCTGTAGTCTATGGTGTAAACTAACCTTGACTGTAAAGTCAGTTTGGATTAGAATAGCCTCTGATTCGAATACAGATCATGGCATTTCGGTTTCTGCTTTCTTTACAGGTCACTATACTCGCCATCCATGATCTGACCAAATTCTTATTCAAAGAATGTTCTATGGAATCGTGACAAAAAACATCAAAAGTTTTTCTAGTTTATGCTTCCACCAATCAAAACAATGATAAAAGTTGAAAGACAATACAAGTTAAACACGGAATATTCCGCATGTCATCAGATAAAGAGTATTTGATTGGTTTAATTTTAAATGAGCAGGAGATGCATAAATATCTTGTCAGATCAGTGAGCTCCAGTGGAGTTTCC